TAAAGTATTAAACCCTATTATGTGCCAGGCCCTGCGTGAACACAACCAGAACAATGCTGCATTAAAGCCACTTGGATCATAGGGTTCAAGTCCTTGCCTTGGCTACTTGGCCAGGACCACAGTCCCCCTAGGGCTGGACCCTGCCTTGGGCTGGCTGACCTCCCCATCTCCTCCTATTTCCCACCACAACAGAAGACCTATCATAGTGTCGAGAAGTGTCCTCAATGCAGCTCACCTCTGCAGACTATTTGGCACTTCTGCCCTGTGTAGATTTCCACTGCTTCAGTGGTGTATCTCTCACCCATTCAACAAATATTTATTATTGAGGACATCCAACGTCCAGGCCTGGAGCTGGAGGCTAGGGATACATTGATGAACCTGGTCCCTGCCCTGATGAGCTTTGACTTGCACAAGAGACAGATAGCAAACAAGGGAGTGATCCCAATTAAGCCAAAGCTAGCAACCCAACATAGGTGCTGTTGTAGAGACTAATGGGTGAGTGTCTTGTGGAGGGTGGTCAGGGAAGGCCTCTAGAGGAGGAAACATCAAAGTTGAGACCCAAGGGTTAAGGAAACTAGCCATCCCAGCGTGGAGGGACAAGCATTGTGGCCAGAGGGAACAACCTGAGCCAAGAGGGATGCCACAAAATATAAGACACAGTCCTCATCGTCAAAGAGAACAGAATCCAGTAAGAGAGAAGCCAAAGGGAGACCATGCTGGAATGTAGAAAGAGCATCAGAAATGAGATTTCAGACTGTGCAGTCAACACTGACCCTTCCCTAGCCTTGAGTCACTCACTGAACCTCCAGAATTCTCACAGTGCTACTTCATTTGCTGCCCTAAATACTGTCTTCCCCTCACTGTACAAGGGCAGGTACATTCTGGAACCTCGGCATAAGATGCTACATAAATGCCTGTTAAATTCCTGGGAGCCCGTCTTGCCAGCATGAACTTTCCATATCCTGATTCTGTCATGCAGCGTGTTGTTATGTCTTCACTGGAGCCAAGCATAGGAACAGAGACCAAGACAGAGCCCAGTGGTGGTCCACTAGAAACCTCACACCACATGAGACTTGATCCCTAACACATTTTTGGAGTATGGTCATATCTACAGGCCAGGCCCTGTGGATTCAGACATAAGTAAGAAAAGGAAAGGCAGCTGGAGAGGTAAACATAGCAGCTCACAGAAGCCCTTGGAGAACATAGTACTGAGGCTGGACTTTTCCCTGGACAATAGGAGAAGAATCTTCAATATCAGGGTTTTAAGTAGGAGTGACACAGTCAGATTTGCATTTTATGCAGATTAGTATGGCAAGTGTGTAATTAGTGGATTTGAGGGGGACAAGCCAGAGGCAGGCTGTCCAGTTAGAAGGCAGTGGCAATCAACTAAGAGACAGACAGGTGGAAGGTAACAGGATCAGGGAAATGGGTCAGGACTAGGGGGTGTTTAAGGGGTAAATTGTCGGGAACACCTTCAATCACAGTTATCTCAAGGATTAAATCATATGATGAGGAAGATATATGGTGTTTAGCAAATGCTGAGTTGTCAAAGTAAGGAAAAGGATTGAGTGGTTAAGAACATAGCCTCTGGAGCCAGTTTTCCTGGGTTGAAACCTTAGCTCTCAGCTTCCTGGCTGTGAGACCTTGGGCAGGTGTTGGTGCTTCTCTGTGCTGCAGGTTCCCTTCTGGAAAATGGAGCTGATAATAACTATTTCATGGGACTATTGAGAAGATTATATGAGTGACTATGTGTCAAGGGTTTAGACCAATGTTTGGCACAGACTAAGTGCTATGCAAGTGTTGGTTAAAATGGTATAATTGATATTGCACAAGGGAGCAGGCAGGGATTATGAATGACCCCCATGTTTCTAGTTTGGGCGATAAGCGGATGGCAATGATCCTGAAGGAAGACCTTTCATCCCCTCTGTGCATCGTTCCCCTTCTGAGAACTCTCACATCCCTGTGGTTCCTGTGGGAGCTGCCCTGATCTCAGAGTAGCCCAGCTCCCTAGCGGTGGTTCATTGGTCCAGTGATCTAAGCCAACACCTGATCTAAGCTAAGCCAATCCCAGGCTGTGGCAAACAGAACAATGGCCCCCCAAAGTGTCCACACTCTAATTCCTGGAACCTATGAATATGTTCCCTCACATGGCAAAAAGAGACTGCAAATGTGATTAAGTTAAGGATCTTGGGGTGAAGAGTATCCTGGATTATCCAGGTGGACCCAATGTCATCACGAGTTTCCTTATAAGAGGGAGGCAGGAGGGTCACGATCAGAGGAGAATCAATGTGTGGAAGCTAAAAGGAAGCAGGTTTCAACCTATTAAAACTTAGAACTGCTCGAAATAGAACGTGCTAAGTGACCTTTATTAGGGGACTGGCTAACTAAATGATGCCATATCGATATAGCGAACTCCTAAAATCGATATCCAAGAATTTAAATATATAGAGAAATGTTGGATATAAAAAGTAAAAAAAAAAGAATAAAAATTATGAATACACGATTCCATTTATATATGTCCAGAACAGGCAAATCAATAGACAGAGAAAGTAGATTCGGTTGCCAAGGGCGGAGGGAGAACAGAGAGTGACTACTAATGGGTATAGGATTTCTTTCTGAGTTGATGAAAATGTTCTAAAATTAGTGTCAATAGTTACACAACCTTGTAAATATATTAAAAACCACTGAATTGTATACTTTTAAAGGATGAATTTTATGGTACATAGATTATATCAAGAAAAAGAGTATAAGAAAGATCATAATACATGTGTATATATAGAATATGTAATTGTATATAATAAGGAATATTATGCTTAATTTCGAAAAAAACATACATATAGCTCTCAATTTTTTTAACTATATCTCTGCATCCATATGGTGAGAAAAAATTCAGGATGGAAATACAAAGTGTTAATTATATTTTCAGGGTAGTAGGGCCACTTGCTATCACAAATTTTATTCAATAAATAGCATTTCTTTTATAATCAGAAGAAACTCTTGTAACAATAGGACTAGGTTGCCTGTTGAGGCAATGAGCTTCTTGTCATGGGAAGTATTCCCAAAAGTTTGAGAGTCACCAGATACAGACACCTACAATGTATGACCCAGTCCTTTTAACTAAGATATTAGCATTTTATAATTGCTTTTTCATTTATGTTCTATTTTTTAAATAATCCATTATCTCAAATCTTCATCGGTACTAGTTGGTGTTGGGGGGAGGGAATTCATCTTTTACTATAAAGCATAGTAATTTAAAAAGATCATAACTTGAAGAGTATACTACGAGTCAAAATCAGAAAGAAAATTAGTTTAAAAGCAAACTACATGCTTATAAGCAGCCAGAATGTAAAAAAAAAATGTTGTAAGAAAATACTTAAGAAATTTTCTAACGAGGAGGAAACGGGGGTTTTCCCTTTCATCTTTGTAAGAATGAAAATAAAACTTTAAAAGGTGACATTTGAAATACTGAGCGTGTACACATTCACTCCAAAGGTTGCTGACACACAGGCAGAACGTAAATAGTTCATATGAGGAAGATTGCCACCTTTTTTTTAACCCAAGTTCAGGAATTGTCAGCCATGAGATGGGAAGCCAGCCAGCGCCTCCGCCTTGTCAGGTCTCCCATGGGGCGCTGGAGCCTGCGCTAACTCCGCCCACTGCCTGGCAGAGTTGAGGGCAGTGGGAGAGGAGATGCACCAAGCTATAAAAAACTTGAAGTTTTATTTCCTTCTAAGGCATCCTGACACTGGGTGATCCAGCCCCCAGTGCCCAGGCAAGTTCAGCTCAAATCTGGGAGAGTATGTGTGTGTGTGTTTTTCCTGAGCCAAAGCTGCCAAAAAACCAGACGACGTTGTCACTTGGACTGAATCTCTTGCAGGCCGAATGGTGGCTTCCTATTTCCGTCCTGGGAGGAGTATGGAAGTCACTTAATGCTCAGTTTCTCTGACCCATGTTCCAATATTACATCACATCCTTAATAGCAAGCTTACCCTCCATTCCACCCCCAACATGGGGCTGCTGAGATTTTAAGAATCCCATTTGTCATCTCAAAGCATATGGCACTCCTACACAATTTTGCCTCCCACCCTTTAGGCTGCAATTTCAATTTAAACAAGTGGTGCCAAGCTGAGCTGGTCAGAATCCTAGAAAGCCACAGCTAGAAGGTACTTGGTCCAATTATCTTTTTACCAAGGAAGAAACTGAGGCTCAGAGATGGTAGAGAACCTGCCCAAAGCTAGAGGGACAGACCCAAAAGGAGAAGCCAGGCCTTAAAATCTCAAGAGGGACTCTGTATCCACGATGGTGTCCACATCCTTGTAGTCCCAGCTCCTGTATACAGGAGGGGCTATTTAAATGCTTTCCAGAGATGTCTGAAGCTTTGTGGTCAAAGTAGGGGCTTACCCTGTGATCATTCCTTCTTTTCAGCCCTCTTACTGCTTCTGTGCAGTGGAGGGAAAAAATGGGTTAGGCAGCTCGGAAAATATCCTTCTGGAAGCAGGTGGAGCCTAGAAGCAGTCTCTCCTGCTAGAGAAGCCCATGTGGGACAGCACTGAAGGGGAACGTTTCAACTCCAAGGTTCTGAATGAAAGTTGCAACCCACTCCGTTTTCCTCGGCTGCCCTGCTCTCAACAGTAGAGGCATGTGCTTGTGATTTAAAATTCCCATCTTATTTTTAAAGTATATTTCTTTACACAATTCCTAAAGAGATTTAGATTAATGCTGAGGTTAACAGGAAGTGTTTTTATGTACATTTTCTGCATAAAGCAAATCTGGATACATTAAGAGGCCTAGAGATTGTGTTAAAATGTGTTATTAACACCCGAACTACTTAAAACTAGAGTCGGGTTGCAGTGGGATGTGTCTATGGTTTTTCTGGTCCCTCCTGCTCACCTACCAAACTAGGGCCCAGAGGTAGAATTACATCCGAGGGCAGGTATATCTTGTTCATTGAGCAAAAGGGATTGAAAGCTACGCAAGCTAAAAACCTACACAATTCGCAGTTAGAGATGAAAGGCTGCAGAAATGTTTATTGAATACAGTGCCAGATTTATAAATAAAACTTATTTACAGTTTCCATAAGAGTTGGTCCCCCATCAGAGAGGTGGTTAAATCTCCAGTTTATCTCAAGATTTACAGAAACGTTCAAGTCCATCTCCTTTACAGATCGCCACCATCTTTGCTACAGACATGTTTAATGAACATTATAATAGAGCTGGAGAAAGTCCACACACTCCACCCATGCCACTACCTTCGTACTCCAAGGGATACAGACAGCAAAGAATTTCTGTCTCCTATAGAACAACTTTAAGGGATTAAAAAAAAGAATAGTTAACTGCCAGCGGAAGGGATAGATTAAGACACATTCGTGGAATCTAGTCACTGCCAAAAGGATAAATTTAGAATATACAGTAAAAGGATTATTTAGGATATACAATAATTAATTCAAATGTTTGAAATAATTGAATGAACAAAGAGCAGATTGACCAAATTTACATTCTTCGTTTAGGAAAAAGTTCCCAGTATGCTGAGGGGCGAATAATATGCTGCTACTCTGACAGGCCATAGCAGTGCTAGGCCTACTGGACAGCCAACTCATTACAATATGGTTACAAGTACAGTCAGACATGCATTTATAAAGAGAATATAAAAATATGTACAGTAGCTAATTTTCAATGTGTTTAAGTTGCCGAAAGACACCAATTAAAGTGTGCAAAAATTCATTTGTCAAAAATCAGAAAAAGCCCTCCTCGGCAACCATGCCTTAAAAGCCCATCTGAAACAAGATACATTTGCCTTGCTCAACACCTACCCCAAACAGATGGAGAACAAAATTATGAAAGTGTTTGCCAAGTACTCAGCAGTTTTTTATGGCAAGTCTCAGGCTCAAGCGGGATGCCAGTTAAACTAGTCACTTTATATATATATATAAATATGTATGTATATATATATATAAGTATATATGTATATTTATAGAGCAGTTAGAACTAGGGGCAAGAGTTTACAAGAAGATGCTAACCAACTTGAGAGTACTGCCACAACACCCAGCTATTTACTCACAAATTCACACGCAGACTGCAAACACCTAACCCCTGGGCTCGCCGTCCCCTCAAATGCCAGAAGGGCTACAGCAGACTGGGCTGCACCTCTGCGCCAAAGTAGAACTCGGCATCCCTGGTTAAATCTCCGCAGACACCGGGGAAAAGGTTTCTGGTTCCTATACAGCATCCTGACCATAGAAGAATCTGATTCTAAAGGTAGTCTTCTGAGAAAGACTGTGGGACCACTAAAATGGAGTCCACCCAGCTTCTAGAACAAGACTTGGTTGAAAAGGTAAGAAAGAAGGCAAAATTTTCAAAAACAAGTCAGATCACCCTCAACCCTCTGTGAAACAACCAAGAGGTCATCTACCATAGGCCTGAGACTGGGTTGACAGCCAGGCTACCGGACCTCCCTGCAAGAAACATCCAGGTCGCTAATTAATTTGAACCAGGAGCCCTCAGTCCAATCTCACCAGAACCCCTAAGGTATTCTTAGGTGTTCCTTCCAGATTCAGGGAATTGTGAAAGCCAACCCTCGCTCACGACGTCGACCTCTCCTCTACCAACCACTGAGTGTAAGCACCAGCAGCAGAGGAAGATGGGTGGGGGGCTCCTCTCCACTGCTCTGACCCACCCCTCTGGCAGGAAATCTAACAAGCTGCAAAATGCCAGAAAGACGGGGAGTAGGAGAGGGAGAAGCCAAGGGTCTCTATAAATCAGCCCTGAATGCACCCATTTGGCTGCCAAGGGCTTCTCACTGCCTCGCTAGCAGCCTGCCACTGTTCCCTGGCAAATTAAAACCTCCCACACACACACTTCAAACCCAAATCTTGCTAATAAGATACAACCAGTTAACACTCTGAAAAATGCACATCTAGCCTTCATTTCAAAAGAAGTTCTGCACTAAATGCAGTAAGCCTTTTAAGGGGGCTTTTTCAAAGCAGCCCAACCCCACTGCAAAAACCAGTACCAGGGTCTCTTAGTTTTGGTTACAGTTTTATAATTAGATATGAAATGCCCTCTTGGTTAGAATTTGACTTTCAAGCTAAGGGCTACCATTAGTTCTTAGGGGAAAAAGAGCAAAGTCAATTCAACTTAAAAAGTAAAAGGAGGCTAAGGTAATCATAAATTAAAAATTGTGAATCAAATAATGACTGGTAGTCTTTTAGGCATAAAGACTGGCTTAGAAAAGTGACTACTGCTTCTACCACACACAGCAAAGACTGAATTACAGACACACTAAATTATGTCTCCTGCACAGATGGTCTCAAGTAGTTACATAAAACAGGTAATCAGCAGCACAACTGAGAAGAACCCCTAAATACATGCTTGAGAGAAAGTGGATTTTTTTCCTTAAGAGCTCTGCCCAGATAATCATTAAGTTACCAAGATTCAGTCTCCCCTCCCCACCCCCCAGTGAAAATACAATAGAGCTACACGTCCATAAACATGAAGCGATCGGCATCTGCTTGGTTTAGGCAAGGTCTCAGGCTCAGAGGTTGGTGCTTGAATGCCGGAAGGTAGGGAACCCCAAGGCTGGGCTGGGGGGCATTTAAAGGTACACTGGCCTCCCCTCCGACTGCCTTGTCCCCGTATAGATCTCAGCTTTACAAAGCATTTAACACCACTTTAAGTTAATGGTCTTTTTATTGGAAAAAAAATAAAATAAAAAGACTAGCATTTACAACTTGGAATGGACGTAAATCGTGATTTCTTGAACAGCAATGTTGATGGTTGTGCTGAAGTCCACAGCCACAGCCTACCTCTGCCGGCTCCAAGTCATGGTTCGGAAGGTTTTAAAAACAGAGAGTCCAAAGATGCTCCCTTGGTAAAAGTTTCTTTTTAAAAATTTGTGTGAACGGTGACAGCCTGACACCCATTTCGCTCTAGTACAATGCAGACAACGCTAAACCAACACACGTGGGCATGCCACCAGGGTGTGTCACCATCACCAAGGGTCAGGGCACATGGAAGTACAAGAGGACCAACCTGCTAGTGGGACTACGTCTAGACAGTTTATCCTTCACCCATTTTTCTACACACATCCTGAGGTAAACCAATTTTAAATGTGTTTGCTTTCAGTAAACCAGCGATGACAATTTATACTAACAAACTGAACTAGAACCCATTTGACGTGGTTTTGAATTTGTTTTTTCATTTTTCGTTTTTAATACAAATGCCTGACTGTGCTCAATTGTCAAGCTGCATGCATGAAAAACTGGCCAGCCCAAACAGTGTATTAATAATCATTAGCAAATGGAACTGCGAGGAGTCCACTAAGTGCTTCCTTATCGTTAAGGTAGTACAAGTATTTATATACTGTAAAACTGAGGTGTAGCTTGATCTTTAGGGGACAGGACCACCAACCAATACATGCAGATTGTTTTGTGTGTGTGGACAGAAGGTACTTTTGACATTCAGTTTTGCTATATAGAAACAGAATGAGTAAATGATTTTTTTTTTTTTTTGCAAGAGGTAAGTAAAAGATTCAATTTGATTCTTCTAGAGGGGGGGAAAGGAGTTGAAAGTAGGTCTTCATTTTGCAGTCATCATCTGTACGAATTCTGAAAAGACATAATCATAACTTTCAGTTACCTTCAAAAGCAGCCTTAATGAACACAACATCTCTACTATGCATAAAAAAATCAGTGAATGTCTTGTGAAGCCGTTAACTTGTTTATATCCGTAAAAGGAAGATTAAAAACTAAGCTAAGAATTGTTGTGTTTTACCTTCATAGTTGACTTGTCCATCTCCATCAATATCTGCTTCTCTGATCATTTCATCTACTTCTTCATCTGTTAGCTTCTCTCCTAAGTTTGTCATGACGTGACGTAGCTCTGCCGCACTGATGTACCCATTGCCATCCTGTGAACATTCAGCGATTATTACTGACAGTGACTGATAGTGTGGGCAGGGATAGTGCCCTCGAGTTACTGCTGACTCTGCTCTCATCGACAAGCCTCTGACCTCCAGTTCCCACCTCCACCCACCACATACGTGCAGTCGACAAACTCAGAAAACACACAGGCTTTCAAAAGCTAACAGAAATCGAAAGTAACAATCAAGAACCTTAGTTCAAATTTTCTCTATTTATTCTGTTTACCCTCACTCGATAAGGTTACTGCAATAAGTCAGGATATTTGAAAGGGAGATTTTAGAGGCTCAGGCAGTTAGGGAAGAACGAGAACAGACTGTTGAAGCTTTTAGAAATAGCAAAAAAGCCGTACAGAAGTATCATCTGCAACGTAGATGCAGGATTACCTTGTCAAAGACTCGGAATGCCTCGCGGATCTCTTCTTCACTGTCTGTATCTTTCATTTTTCTAGCCATCATAGTCAAAAATTCTGGGAAGTCAATGGTGCCATTGCCTCGAATTAAAAAATAAAAAGCTCATGTAAAATAAATGCTCCAGTAATGCTCCTCCACAGTAATAATTTTAGAACTTCACAGAATAAGCACTTTGCTAGACAAACTGATAATTTTATTAGGTTGAACGATTTGCAGGTCTAAACTACTGAAGTACTTCACAGAGCAATTTCACATAACTCAAACTAATAATCAATGCTCTGGATAGCATTTAATGACGCAAAGGAAACTGCATATATGGACCCTTGACCACTGAAGGGGTCTGTACAGTTCAAGAGAAAAAAGCACACAGCACGGCAGGCTGAATCTTTCCACTCCCAAGGGAAGCACCGGAGAAGCAGTCGAGATTGTCTCCCCCATACCCCTGCCCCCACTCCAAGTCGGGGCAATCACTGGGCTCCAACTCTGCCTTGGCTAGTGATACTGGTCAAGGCCCAGATTTCGGCCACCCAGAGCACAAAATGTTTTTAGGGATGAAAAGGATCATGAGGGAATAAACTGACTCTATTATGCCATAAACCATAAAGTTTTAGAAACTGTCTTCTACAGGGGGCATGACATTTCTCAGCCACATTATGACGATTCAGTCACCTAATCGTTTTCTCCCCAACTCAGTATCTTTAGTTCCCATTAAGGGCAAAGCTCAGAAGTGTTTGCACAGCTCAGACCATTAACTTCTAGGAAACCATGTCAGAAGAATCTGTTCTATGGCCAGGGTTCCAAACAACTTCTCTAAAACTGAGATATCAATCAAACCCCAAAGACAAAGCATCCAATATATAATGTAGCTTAAATAAAAAAAAATTAAAAGAAAAAAAGCCTTGGGTTAAGTTATTCATTTTCACCAATACTTTCAAATTAAAATAGTAACTCAGAGATCCTTTCAAGTCCTTTTGGCCTCTAAAATTTTAAAGTATTATTGATATTTATGCAAGTCAAAATTATTTGGAGTGTTATCTCACAGTGATATAGAGATGTCCTTAGGCATCATATTTATTCACCGGGAATACTAGATTTTGTCGCCTGGGACAACCTCTCTCTCTCGTTCCATACAATCTAAAGGCCTGATACACTATGCCGGTCCCCAAGCCCAGTTTCCCAGGGTTTATACAAAACAGGAGAGAGCCACTCTATATTTCCACTCTATATGGCTGATCATCTTATCAAACTAGAGAGAATGAGGGACCTTTTTCTAAAACAATATTAAGGATGGAAACAGACCTCAGAAGCAGTTTGAATAGACTGAAACCATTGTTAAAGAACTTAACCGAAGCCCCTGCTTCTAAATGCACATGACCGGACAAGTGTAACTCCACTTTATCACCTTTTGATTCTATATTTAATGACTACTATCAAGGCAACCATCTAGAAAGTAATCCAGATCCAAGTTGTTTATTCTTTGCTCGCCTTTTAAAAGCTTATTAAGTTCTACAATGCTATATAGTATATTTACTAGTACATATATATGGTTTCCAAAAATACATTTCTTTTGGGGGGAGGGAGTGGCCAAAAACTGTTTACTGATGGAAGAGAGTAAACAATAAAGTCTATCATCCAAAGAGTCCAGAGGAATGAATGACCAATCGGTGACGAACTACTACAGGGGTCACTGTTTGTTCCTTCTTGCTCCATGCCTTATACATCGCCTTCTATTAGGTTCTGTCGCTCTATTCCCCAGTCAGCATGTACCCCACCTTCAAGCCTCACGTGACCTTCAAAATTCTCTTCAATAAACACATTTTTGGCTCACACTGTATCCAATTCTATGCAAATACTTAAGAAGAGTGCTCTTCGCCCACTTTGCTTGGTGTTTTTCTGCTCCTCTTAGAGACAGGAAGCTTTTTTCAAAGGTCTATGGCTATTTATTTTTTACATCCCCACAGAACTCAGTGCAGATTCATGGGCCAGTTGATAAAAGATTGAGCTGTAGGTCACAGCAGGTAGAAAAGAACAATACAGTGATCCGATCCAGGAAATGTTCTAGACATTGAGCAGGGTGAAAGGCAGGTCCATAATCTTCTGTTTTAATTGTCAATGGCCATTAAGGCAACCACAAATGTACCATCTGTACATTTGCTTTGTTCTGGGGACGTGAAAGACAATCTCCCAACATGTCTGAACGTGAATTACACAACAGTGGCACTCATTCATAGTTCTAAAGCCCTTACCGTCAGCATCCACCTCATTGATCATATCCTGCAATTCGGCTTCTGTTGGGTTCTGACCCAGTGACCTCATGACAGTTCCAAGTTCCTTTGTTGTGATGGTGCCATCACCATCTTTGTCAAATAGAGAGAAAGCTTCCTTGAATTCTGAAAACAAAAGTTTACCTTTTAGAATAAATGTCTTTACCCAACCCAGCCACAATACACACTTTCCTAGGGCTGGCCAAGCAAGCTGTCCAAGGTGTTTAAGTTCTCAAAAACTGCCTGGACTCTATTGAAATAAAGAGCACAAAAGTCCTGCTGGACTGACCTTTATATCCATAAAGCAAACATTGCTCCTAGTAACCAGCTCCATAAAACCACAATAGACTCACATTTTTAAAGGCTAAACTTGAACACGTTTAAATCAGTCCTAAGTCCAATGTGACAAGTGAAGATTGGTCCATGTGTTCCCTTAAAGTCTCTTCCCATTAAATTTGTACACATGAGAATGCCTTGTCTCATATCAATTTGAAGAAGTTACTAGAACTGTACATTCCCAAGTCACCAGTATGTTTTCTCTACATGGCATTCAGATTTTTCCAA